GGCCGTGGCTGCTGCGCGGGGGGGTTGTCTCCGGGTGGGTTTCCGCAGGGCTCGCAGGTGGGAGGCGGAGAAGCTGGTGTCAGACGGGCCCTTGGGAGGCCGCCGCCGCCGCGATGAGTAACACTTCTCAGTTCTCCTGTTAAATGATTGATCTTTTGATTGATTGGTTCCAGGGAATGCGACAGTTAGGCCACGCTCTCATGTTACGTTTTAACCTGATGAGATGCAGGAGTAGCATGTTTTCCTGTTTACGCGCTTGGAGAGGTTAAGCAGTGGTCACTAAGTAGCCTTCCCGAATTGTCCTGTTGAATCTTTCCCATGTATTTCCTGGACAGGCTATGTCTGTCATGTGATGTCTTTGATAGATTTCATGTAGCCGAGGCTTTGTCTGTGACATTACTGGAAAAAAAAATGCAGCAATGTCTAAAGAGATTTATTAGAGGCAGCACGGTCTGAGCTCTCTTGAAGCTTTCTGGGGAAGCAGCTTTATCTCCAGCTCCTTGTGCTTAATTCTGTGTTCCTTTGGGACAGCAGGAGTCATGTGTGAAGAACTTAGTGATGTACTTGGTCCTGGCACAGTGTGAAGGTTTTGGTGGCTGTGACTAAGGGGGCTGAGTTTTTAAGAGAAGTTGGACTGTATGTCAGAGCAAGTCTTTGATCTTGCGTTTAACGTGTTCTGTTTTATGGGAATGGTCTATTGGGCACAACCTGGACAACACGTGTTAGCACTGAAATGGGAAAGTTAGTGAGTTGCAGCAGTCTGAATGTGATGTCGAGCAGAAAGTAAAATCCTAAATCAGGAAGGAAAGGGGATACTTCTGAAATGCAGCAGGTTGTTGGCACTTTGTGTGTTCATCTTGTGCACCTGTTGAAGAGTAGGGGGAATGACAACCTGATGCAATTTGGGAAACAAAAGCTGGGCCCAGCATTTGATGAAAGGGGGGGAAAGTTGTTAGCAGCCATGGAGTGTTACATTGCCATAGGGGTGTCATGTAAACAGCATTTCTTTGAATGCCCTGAGCACTGTAGGCTTGGCAATACGGATTGCAGCCTGATATATTGGCCCTTGTTTTCCCAAAGCCCTTGGGTTACTAATCTTTAAAACTACTAGATTCCCTAAGCTGAGAGATGTGGTGGTGGCCAGCTGAGCTCAGGCACAGGGGGACATAAAAGGCTGAAAGAAAAGTAGGTGCCTTTTCTATTTCAAGTGCCAAAGGAACCTTTTTGTCTTTGCTATGTATTTGGCAGAAAAAGCAACCAATGCATCTCCAAGAGAAAAATCCAACCTAAAATTTAACTCCATATATTGTTTTGTTGTCTCGGCCTCAGGCAGTGTAGCATGTGATGTATATTAATCATGTTTTAACACACTGTAGAATTTTAAAGCACAAGTTCAGAGTAATATTGGAGCTTCTGTATTTAAATGAAAGCATTGGAATGTGATGTCTAAGTGTTGCTCTTTTTAGTCTACCTAGAATCTCTCTGTAGCTTGAGGAACTGTTCTGAATCAGGTGAATATTGCTAGTTCCTTAATCTTCTGGAGCTTGATGGGGTTTTAGGTGTTTTCTTGTTTGATTGGTCTCTGCAAGCTTGAGTATTGGGTGGTGTCGTCCCATCCCCCCCTGCCCTGGATTTCTAGAATCTGGTGGGGACTAGACCATGCTTTGCTAGGGAACCAGGTGATTATACTGAAGTATAATCTCAGAAGTCTCTTTCAGAATTTTGTGACTTCCTTGGGATTTTATTCTTGTTTGGTGCACAGTTAATTTAATGTTGGTCTTACTTTACCTCTGCAAATCCTTCATCATAAATGAACATGCTAGGAGTACAAATGCTTTTCTCTGAGCCTGTTGCATACTTACTTGAAGGCATTGCCAAAGAAGTTCAGAACTCTCAGTGAATGTTTTTAAACAAACCAGTTGTTAACGCATCCCACAAATCTGAACAGCTTTCTTTTCTTACAGCCCCTTCTTCTCACCCTTTACTTTCTCCCACTGTTGGCTGCTGTTACTGCAGAGGTGAATCACTTGAAGGGGGAACCCTGTGAACAGATCCACCACCCTCCACCTCCCCAGTCTCTCTCTACCTCTTTTTCTGTCCCTCTACCTCACCTAAATCACCTGAAAACTCTATTCTTAATGAGAAGAAAAACTAGAAAGCAAACTTTTGTGTGTTGTTAGGAAAGTACTTTTGCTGTTAACGGCGGATGTACCTCATTCATGCAATCTAATGGTCTGATTTGGTATGTGGCTGCATCACTGGCATTAAACTATACCTGCTAGTGTACCTGAAGGTGTGAAGGGCAGCCCGTGATGTCCTTGTACAATCTCCTGTGTTTGCTGTTACAGGCTATGAGAGTGAATAAGTAATGTCTGTTTACTATCTTTCCGCAGGAGTCTGTCTCTTTTAGC